TAAATAAGTCAGAGTAGACGGAATTTAGACATCATTACTATATATTTTTCTGAATATAAGATGCCTCATCACAAAGAAAGGGAGCAATAACAGTGCTCCTGGGCCAGGATCTGTCCCGTGGTCGTGAACCATGATATAAAGCTGTAAGGCTCAATTGCAACAAATTCCTCAAGTGAAGATGATCGGTAAAATGTGTACCACGACGTACCTCATTTCCATGGCCCGCATGTAGTCTACACGCCCTGGAAAATAAGCGCTGAGTATACAGGATGGAAGAAGGGGAATCTTTCCCAGCAAAATATGCAATGGCCTCCTAATAAATCAACCGACTCAAGTCCTTATGGTTAAAATGGTAGGTGTATAATCAGAAATGGGAAAGCTTAATCACAAACTAATTATCATCAATAGGATTGCTAGACCTATTTGATGGGGTTCGGTTATAGAAACAATGAGCCTACCATTAGATCTCGTTCAAGAGTCCCAAGAGCACTGCTGTCCTGTACCACAGCGATCGTCTCGCGTCGAGACGATGATTTCGCCTTCTTACCAGTCAATGATAAGCCACGCGGCAGCCCAGGCAACTGTAGCTTGTCTGTAGTTGTCCGAACAAGGCTGTTGAGTTCACCTATCTCCCCGCAGGATAGCCTACTGGCCTCGTTCGGCTGATGCTGCTGGACGCCAGCAGCTTGTCGATCATCTGATGACTGGCGCAATGGCTCTCCACCACCAACGGGGACAAAAGTGGTGTTTACTTGACAGGACGGCGGAGAGGCATTTACTAGCGAAGGGTCTATGGAGGTTCCCCACCAACTGAGTGACCACTTTTCTCGATTGCGGGAAATCCTAGATCCACCACTGATCTCCTTCTCCTTTTCCTTTTCCTTTTCCTTTTCCTTTTCTTTTTCCTTTTCCTTTTCCTTTTCTCTCTCTCTCCCCCTTTCTTTTGCCTTCTTTCCCTTTTCTCCCTCTTTCTCGTTATCAATGTCTTTTGACCTCCGACGTAGTTTTGCTCCGGTGGCCTCGGCAGTCTTGATATCCTCCTGAACACCCCGATAATCCGACCGGTCATCAGGGAGCTCCTCGTCGCGGAGACGCTTCTCTTTCCGTTTTTCATTACGTCCAAGGCTTGGCCGACGTACTCGAAGGCTTGGCAGCTTTGCGAGGCCGGCGGACAGGACCGATGTGGAGCTGACAGGCGGTGTGATCGTGGGTGTGGGCGTAGGAGCGGCAAACGGGGCGAGGCCAGGAGATTGCTGTTGCTGTTGCTCAAAAAGGTCGCGTGCAGACAAAGTGGACTCAAGGTTGGTCGAAGAAAGATGAGGTTGCTGGGAAAACGGAGCATCAAGGCTGTCCTTCTCATGGAGTGCTATAGTGGTGCTGGCAGCAGAAGCCGCCTCCCTCTGAATTCGATTGTCATCTAAGGAAGAAAAAAACGAGGATCATGCATTAAAACAGAATACAGTCATTTAAATTGTATACGAAAGCATGCAGGGCACATTGAGATGAAAAGGAAACATATCTGACTAGATGTATTCCATGCGCAGATATACAATTATTTTAGGTGCATCCAGTCTTGGTGACCACTGGTATTCTATTTTGGCCTGAATCAGAGGGACGGTTGAGAGCAGTTGCAAGACCTGGAGCAAGTCAAGTTTAGTGTACCAATGGATAGACTGCTATGTTTATACATTGGCTTAGTAAAAAATCATTTTCGAAATTAGGCTAATACTAATAAAGAAAAACCTTTGATAAACCTCAGAATGATGCAGGTTCTCAATGATCAATAGCGTTGATAAAGGTGTGACAAAGACGAGGTCGAAGGCATATGTTGAATTATTCATCTTTATCTCAATGAAGGCTTCAACGTGGCTACCGGAAAAAAGCTGAGGCGGTGCTTAAACGATACAATACCACATGTTTAACATGCATAAGAAACAAAAGTAAAATGAACAGAGTGCAAGTTTGCTCTTTTCATTATACAGAAAAGAATGTTAGACGTGCAATTAATGTGAGTCAGTATGCAGACAGAAAAAGTGAACGAATTTTAGTTTTTAGAAGAGGTGAAATAAAAAAAAGTGCTCTATAGATTTGTATTGCTGTTTTAAGCGCCATTATTTGAAGGACCATGAATATATTAAGCTCAGCTGACTTGTCTCCAGCAACTTGCCGAGCTGGTCTGTCTTCAGCACTTTGACAAATTGGCGACTTATGTACCGGTGTGCTCACAGCCTTCCCTAGTGATCTTTCCAAAAAACAAGTAGACATAAGAGCAAAGAACGTAGTCTAATTTGAGTAGCAAAAGTGAAGCCAGGTATGATCCATGTTTATCAATCCCTGTGAATTTGACAGGACATCAATCCTTTTGGCCGAAAGACTGTGGTACCAAATGTGAAGAGATACCATTCATTTTTGTTAAGCAAACAGATCAACAAAGGTTAGTGAACATGTAATGGACATAAAAAAGCTATTGATGTTGGAGTACCCTTCATTCCGTTTGAAGAGGCGAGTGGAAAAAATTCGTAACTTGGTTCCACCGGATGCAGTGGGGGGTTGCCCTGAGGCTGTGGTTATAGATTTGTAAGAATAGCTCCTTGGAGCTCCGCCCTGCGATCCCGATGGATCCTTGCTGAGCCTTCGTCCATTATGTGACGGACATCGTCAGAGCAGGACACCATACTTCACGGAAATTCACAAAAAAACACAAAGGCTAGAAAGATGGCCGCCTTCAAACCCACTCCCTTGTTATATTCCAATTTGGTCCACTTATGCATTTCATGTTTTGGTTGGATGTCCTATGCTTTACCCCCATATTTGCTCATAAGTTAAGATAAGTGGCTGTGGATGGCATGTGAAGTGGCTAAAGATGAAGCGTGAACTGGGTGCAATTGAAACCGAACAGCTGCATCCTGCCCTAAAATACTTATGCCTTTGATACTGCAGTGTTACCGCATGTGAATACGTCCTATTGCCCATGCGTTGTGTCCATGCCTTGATCTTTAAATGAGTGTGATGTGAGAATAAAAACCAGATTCCAGCCTAATCAAGCCTCCTCTTGCTCGGCGGTACTCCTACTTCGCATCCTTCTCTCTCTCTCTTTGGTCCTATCCGGCGGCCACAAGTAGTTTTCACCCAACTTCTTACACTCACTCTTTCTCTTCATGGAGTTGGCTGTTTTATTTAT